TAGAAACCATTGGTAAAATCTTGATATTTCTTACGGAATTCATGCTTCCCCATGCAAAGTGAGTGGAGAAGGAAACTAGAAAATGGTTCCATTCAGATGAGGGGTTAACCATCTCCCCGTTTTTAAATCTTCACAGGACTTCCCTCCAAAGTTTACATAATCCCGGATTATTTCTCAGAAGTGTTATAGCAAAGTACAGCATTATTATTTTGAAGTAAAACTCACAACGCTAGACTTTGAATTTATTTAGACCTATGATGATGTTTCATTTATTTTGTCAATATCACCAAACGTGTTGTAACTTCATATGGACGGTGAAACTGAGGAACCAGGAAGGGTTACACACAAATCAATGTAAGCAAGTCCCACAGCCTAGAGAGCACCAGGGAAAAGGGCAGGATATGGTGTTAGTTGTCCCAACTCAGGTTCTGAGGCAGGGCCTCAGGAGGGGGTGTAGTTCTAGATGTTTCAGAGAACAGGACCAGAACTAACAAGGAGGAATGACAGAGAGGCAGGTTTCAGCTCAATGCAGTCGAGAATTTCCCAATAGAACAAGATGTCCTGTGAGTTGTTGAGTGTCCCCTCCTCCTGCTGAAGTATTCAAGTTCAGACTGGATGGCCATTACCAGAGATTAGGAAGGGGACATGAGGTTTGCCACTCTGCTTTGATGTTCCAGGGGCCCAGGGTGCAGATGAGGGAGAGTCAGGAAGTGTTCGTGGCTGTGATCCTGATACGAATCTTCAAAGACCCAGGCGCGGCCCCTGTATCAGCCCAGGCTTCTTTCTTTACTCTCTTCTGGTCAACTTGTCTTTCCTCGGCACCCTAAGCCATTCTGAGCCCACTGGAACTTTTTACACTTGACTTCCACTTGGGTTAAGTACTTGCTTCCTGATGTGTGAGGTAGCCTTTTATTCATTTTGGTTTTGAACAGACCTCTTTCAAGTTGGAACGTGTTCCCTACTTTCAGTATTCTGGGATTTTGAGAATGATTCCGTGAAGCTACTGTCTGACTTTCTTTATCATTCTATAGCCTCTCCTAGATTTCATCTTCCAAACCATGACCCTCATATATCAAATCATTTTCATACTAAAATCTGTCAGTCACCTTGATAATTTTGCTGTCTTTCTTTGGATCTTTTCCACCTCTTTTTGTGCCATCTTCAAGTGGAATGCCTGGAACCTTCGGCAGATTTTCAGCTTATATATACTACAGTTTTATACATGTTTACTCTGTAGGAAACAGTGTGGTGTATATTTTTAAAAATGCATGATTTTAGGGCATAGAAAATACTGAATCTTTTACTGACTGATGGGCTGCGCAGCTTTGGGAAAGTTATTTAATCAGCCACTTTGAGCATCAGTTTCCACATTTGCAAAATGGAGAGAAGAATATGTACCTTAGTTATTCATGAGGATAAACAATGTGGCATTTAAAAGCCTGGTATATGGCCTTGCACACAGCAGGCACTGAATAATTTAGAGGAGAAGAAGAAAGAGAAAGTTCCCATTGTTGGTTATGTCTTTTCAATAGTGGAAGACATCATTTAATGTAGTAGGTAATAAACATTTTTGTAAAGTACTTTTTGAACCTCTCTGTAAGATTCAAATTTCTCTTGGTCATATTCGTTTAAATTGGTCTATTTCAGTCATGTATGTAAAGACATTGCATTTATATTGTGAAAGTAGATTAAACTTATGGCCTTGCATCTTTACAAACATAAGTAGATAATATATGAGACCTATACAGTGTTAGACCATTGTCTTCTGTTTACTGTTTAGATAGCGTTAACATCTCCCAGAAGCAAGAGCTATGGCGGGAGAAGTGGGAGAGGCACAACTTGCCAAGCAGAAGGCTCTCTCGGCGTTCCATCAGCAAGGAGAGATGGGTGGAGACACTGGTGGTGGCCGACACAAAGATGATTGAATACCATGGGAGTGAGAATGTGGAGTCCTACATCCTCACCATCATGAACATGGTATGCCATACTACATGGGGGCTGGGGCAGCTGGTGAAGAGATGTCATTAGAAATGCTTACATAGGGCCGGGCGCGGTGGCTCATGCCTGTAATCCTAGCACTTTGGGAGGCCAAGTTGGGTGGATCATGAGGTCAGGGGTTCGAGACCAGCCTGATCAGCATGGTGAAACCCCATCTCTACTAAAAATACAAAAATTAGCTTGGCATGGTGGCGGGCGCCTGTAATCCCAGCTACTCAGGAGACTGAGGCAGGAGAATTGCTTGAACCCGGGAGGCCGAGGTTGCAGTGAGCCGAGATCATACCACTGCATTCCAGCCTGGGCAAAAGAGTGAGACTCCATCAAAAAAAAAAAAAAAAGCTTACATAAATAAGAAAGGCCTTTCTTTGGTCCTTTTAACTTATTTTTATAAATATATATGTGAAACTAGTACTTGCCTAAGGATGAATATGGATGAAAATTCAGGATAAATTAGTCTTTCCCTTAAAATTGTATATCCTGGGAACATTTTATCATTTATTAGTTACATATTTCTAGTAGGTATTTAGCAGGTGACTCAATCCTTTTCGTGCAGCTTTGTCTCATCAGTTTATGTTAGTAAACCAAAGGGGTAAACTGAGGCAAAGAACTAGAACATAATTTCCTCAAAGTAGTTAGAAATATAATTGGAATAAAGTTAATGACTCCTAATTTAAAGCTTTCTATTTGCATTATTGATGCTGTCTGCCTTCAAGAGGATGTTAGTCCTATTGAGATGGGAAAAGGTATTTGCCTGAGTGACTGATAATAAAAGAGGAGAATACTGTGGGCTGGGTTAAGAAAAGAAAAATGTTAATCCTTCAAACACACAGCCAAGCAATCACCCTGAAAGACTGTCTTTAAATATTGTCATGTGGAATGAGCCATGGGCACATTTCACTCTTCTTAGCACACCACCCAACATTTCTGATCTATAAAAAAACCTTTATTTTATGTGCATTACAATGCTATTGTCTCCTCTGGTGTTTATTTATTATCTCTTCATGTGGAGCTAATGGTTTTCTATTTCTGACCCTAGGTCACCGGGGTGTTCCATAACCCAAGCATTGGCAATGCAATTCACATTGTTGTGGTTCGGCTCATTCTACTTGAAGAAGAAGAGGTAACATTTTCCCTTCGCTATTCTGCTATATATCCTCACACTTCCTACCTCCTTTTTTCAGGGGAGTTCTTGGTAGACAAGAAAGAGGGTACCAGAAAGTGTTTGGAAGTCTATTGAGAAGGAAAATATTATTTCTGTGTTATTCTCTTGGGAATTCGGTGATACTGAGAGGGATATGGATATGGATATGGATAATATTTCCAAAATATACATAGTTGGAGTCTCTAGACAGTCATTGCATCTAATAACATAAACATAAGACTCATCGCAGTCACCAAAGATGTTCTGCAAAAGAAATAGACTAAATCACGACATGGTTGGATAGTTTCAGTAAAAGGTAAGAAAAACATGGAAATGTTGAACCTTTGATACTATTAATTTACTTCTTGCATATTTAACACAAGTCTCTCAGATTTAGGACTTCTTGTCTATCTGCGCATTTACCTTTGGGGATTTCATCTGTTTAAATGTAAGAGATTTATATTTCATCTATGTCCTGAGACTCTCAATTGATACCTCCAACTAAGATGTCTTCGTTGAGCTTCAGGCTCGTATCCAATTACTTATTTGAAATCTCCACCTGAATGTGTCAAAGTCCATTCAGTCATGAAAACTTAATAAATCCAGAAAGGAACTTTGATTACTCCCTGCCTAAATCATCTCAATTCTGCCACCTCCATTCCCCAAATCACCACCTTACCCAACAGTACTATTATGCATTGGTTACGTAAGCCCAGGAGATATTCTTGATTCCTTTTATCATATCTTTCACATCCAATAGCAAGGCCCACTGTGGTCTTACTTCCAAAATACGTCTCAAAACCACCTACTGCTCATCATCTCCGCAGTCATCACATTGGTTTGGCCTTATCATATCTTGCATAGGCTACTGCAGTGAACTCCCAAATGGTTGCTTCCTATTTTCAGCCTTGCCATCAGAATTCATTCTCCATGGATGTTCATTTTAAATGCAGCCATAATTGATCATTTTAAACACAAACTGAGGTGCTGCACTGCGCAAAACCCTTTAATGGCTTTCTGGTTTTTTTATACAACAAATTCAAAATTTCTTGCTATGACCTGTGGAGACTTTCATGATCTTGCCTCCATCTGCCTTTCTGGTCTTTGCTTATGTTACTCTCTCCTTGTTTCCTACTCTCACACTCACTGTCTATGCACTTGTGGTTCCCAATGCCTGAAACATCCCTCTCCTGGTTCTGCACATGACTGGCACCTTCTCATGCCTCATGCCTCATGCTCTGTAAATGCTCCGTAAATGCTGCCTCTTCAGAGAGGTCTCAGTGACCAATTTATTCAAAGTAGACCCCTCTTATTGCTTTTCATCACAGGATGATGGCAGTCTCACAATTCATCATGATTCTGTGTATTCGTTTACTCTTTTTTTTGCCTATCACACCTCTACCAGAATGTGAATTCCATGAGGACAGAAGCCATGTGTCTTTTTTCTGTTAGATCCCCAACACCTAAAACAGTGCCTTGGATACAAATGAATGAATGAAGTGAAATGTAATGAATGGTAGGACCAGCCAACTGACGAAATGCCCTTGCAATCTATAGAGCTTAACCAGCAGCTGGAATATGTAAAGAACAGCATCATTCATCTCCCCATCAGCAAGAGACCTGCAATCAAAATGCCAAGGGAAGGCTTATTGTTTTCTTGACAGGAAAAGTCTCCATGATCATGTGTGTTAGAAGTTTATTTTTAAAACAATCTGTGGAGTGGGGATCCATTTTTTCTTCTTTCCCCTATAACCCCATCTCCCTTTGTCACCTGAAACATACTTTGGGTATCTTGGAATACCAATGGGTATGTCATTTCCCTTCCTGTGGTCTTTTATTAAGAAAATGTATCCAAAACTTGGAAAACAGGCAACATGAAAACTATATATCCTTTCAATGTTTAAAGACACCTCTATGAAAATGTAACTGGTTGTTTACCATTGATTGGGGCACAGATGTGGTAAAGTTAGATGTTGACATGTAGTAAATGATAGGGTACAAATGGTTTTTGCCTAGTAGAGGCGAAAATGATTTGTGTCCAGCAGAGAAGATAATTCTGAAGATGGTTTTATTGGTTGGTGGAACCAGACCAATAAAAACTGGTATCTAATTTTGTATCTAACTTAGCAATCTCATTCAGCAGTTCTCCCCCACTGGCTATAGCTGCGTCAGTTTTTTGCATCTGCCTTTGAACCAGCTTTGCCATCTTGCCTATCCCCTCATTAAGGAACCAAATTATCTTGCCTGTCTCCTCACTAATGAGTTAAATACATCTTGAACATGTGCTCACTATATATTTATATGAGAATTGTGTTTTTGACTTTTGAAAAGCATGCTTTGATACCTTGGAGAAAACATTTTCTTTTTCATACTGGTTGAGCACATAGGCATTCCTAGATACAAATGTGAAGAAACATTTAGCATTTTCAGACTAAAAAAAGAAAAACAAAGAGAAAGCTACTTCTGGACGTAAGAAGGAAAAATCCTTGGGTTTGAATTGCTGTCATATAAAACAGAAGGAAAAATCTTGACCCTCTGTAGTCCCAGCGGCACCACTGGTAGGATTTCATAATGTGGCTTCCACGGATCAGGCCCCTTTAAACTCCACATCTCTTCATTCCCGAGAAATAATGTCACCAGGGCATCTCCGTGGCATGTTGATGCCAGTGAAGTTGTTGAAGGAGCTTGATTGGCCACTGCCCCCTGACTCCATCACAATCACATTGTTTCTCCTCTTCTCTACCAACCTGGTTTTGCAAGTGTAAAGAGACGCACATGGCTTGCTTCAGGAAGCCATGACTCTCTACCTCCCAGTTGCCAAATATTATCCTCATTCAAGCTTTTATGGAGTCTCTAATTGGTACGGGGTTCACAAGTTAACAGAAGAATTGCAGTCCACAATTCTCATTTTCCTAATTCCTAGGAAACGGCTCAAGCCATTCTTCACATGTGTGACTAATAAGCAGCCCAACAACAGACAGCAATGATTCCAGCCCTTAACTAATGTCACCATGGCAGGCACAGGAAGCAGAGTGTGAGGTTCAGTGCTATGACTCCTTTGAGCAAGTTGACCTGTGTTCAACAACTCTAAGGAAGTTACATCATTGCTCCATGCCCATTTTTCTTAATCCATAATGAGAAGAGAGTTGTGGATCATCAGGCTTATGTCAAATCCTGTGCTAGCACCAGGGATGCAAATATGAACACAAGTCCCATTTCCTGATTCTGAGGAACTTTGAGTCTACTGCACAAAAGTATGAAAATAGAAAATTCAAGTTGAGATTGGCATAAGTATAAAAGTACTGCAACAGGAAAGGGTACTTGGATGTCTAAGATGGGATTTTAGAAAATAAAAAGGAATTAACTAGTGAGGAAGTGATATGGTAAGGCTAATTGAATCATGTGAGTGGTTTCCCCCTTGCTGTTCTTGTGACAGTGAGTGAGTTCTCATGAGATCTGATGGTTTCATAAGCGGCTCTTCACCCTCTGCTCGGCACTTCTCCCTCCTTCCACCTTGTGAAGATGCCTTGCTTCCCCTTCACCTTCCACCATGATTGTAAGTTTCCTGAGGCCTTCCGAGCCATGCTGAACTGTGAGCCAATTAAACCTCTTTCCCTTATTAATTACCCAGTCTTGGGCAGTTCTTTTATAGCAATGTGAAAATGGACTAACACAGGAAGGAAATTCCAGGTGGAGGTACCTGCATGGACAGTGGCTTTATTCTTAAGCCAGCACTATGCATATGAGAGGCAGTGGACATATCACTGATATTGGACCACACAATGGGAGGTTGAGAAGTTTTGTTGTGATACAAGGGAAACAAAGTGATTGTGCTAGAGGCAGGAGAGAAAGCAGCCAATCAAAACCTGCCCATCTCCACTCGCACTTGAGTTTGTCCCGTGTTGCTCATGTCTGCACATGACATTATGATCCTTTCAGTTGCAGAAGCCAGAAATCTGGATGCACTGATGATACCTCCTTCTCTCCCTCCCATGTCAAGTCTGTTATCAGGTACTGACCGTTTATCTGATCGTCTCCATTTATATCACTTCAATTAAAGCTACAGTGTTCTCTTTTCTGGACTATAGTGGTATATACTTTCTGGTCTACTCAAAACCAGTTGAATTTCTTTTCCTCTTGTTTCCTCGATGTAGTCAGGATAATCTGAAAATGGTATTCTGATCTACCCACTCTCCTGCCACCCCTTCTGCAACCCCCACACCTGGCTCAGTTTAGTCCAGTGGTTTTCTGATTTCCTTTCTCATCTCTCACTATTCCTGCCTTTGCTCTTGAGAGGTAGCAATAGTCTTATTCATCAGGGTTTTTCAAGGCCTCCCTCTGGTCTTGTTGTTGCCTGGACTGTCTTCTTGTCTTCCTTTAGTTAACAGCCTAATCTCTCAAATCACAGCTCCAGTGTCACTTCCATGGAGAAGCCTTTCCTGACCCCCTTTCCTAGTAAGATTCTGTTATTGACTCCCATAAAAGTACGTTTCTCCTCCACAGCATGTTTCACAGTTGTAATCTTAGATCTATTTGATTGATACAGTTTCCTCAATTAGTATGTAAGACTTAAGAGCAGAAGTTGAGTTTGATGTTGCTCACTGGTATATAATAGACCCTTAATAAATATTTGTTCAAATATTACATAGGAGAAAGTGTGCAAATGAGGCCAGCAGTCTGTCAGTGAACCAGGGCCAATGGCAACCAAGTTGCCATGGGCCTTGTGGCCACATAAGGACTTTGGATCTAATCCTGTGGGAGATTCTAGATTATTCCAAACCAACAAATGGAATTAGAGAGATCACTCAGGCTCTGTGGAAAGTGTGTGAGGTAGGGAATCCCGAGATTGAGTCTCTGAGATAGATTCCTTTTATCAGTGACTTTCTATCACTCTTATCTTTCTTATTCTAAATACGTCTCATAGGTAACACAATTTGGGGCTTTATTTTTCTGCGGTGAGTTTCAAGAGACTTTGAGGT